GAGAAAACAAACAAAAAAATGCTCCAAACTCCTGAGACTTCCTCCTTTCAAATTACTAAATGGACACAAAAGCTCAGGAGCCCCTTTTTTCTTTGCATACCCTGTATGACAGTGAATGCCAGTACATCACTCTACACTGAATGGACTGATTAAAGAAGGGTCACACTCCAAGCATATTGTCTGGTTCACAAAAACAAGCATAAGAGAAACTAGTATTTTGCAAACTGTTACATCCCATCTTAAAGAAACATGTTGATCCAAGTGAAAACAGAAAACTTGTTTCCCGTTGTTAACGACAAAGCAGAGCTTCCCTGCTTCCCAGCCGCGTGTATATTCACTGCATAATAGGAAAGGACTTGCTCAGAAAAAAAGAAATTCTAACTACTGCTTCAGAATTTGCAGCTGGGTTTTGTAAATGACCTTTGCCAGTTTTTCCCTTGACAAACTCCAAGTGCTATTCAGTCAGAAACAGGGTGAAAAAGCGTCTGCCAAACTGTCTTTTTAAAAGGAGAAGAAACACGCTACTTTTGCATGAACAAACTGTGCCCAGCTGCCATTCTGAGATGGGAGCAGAACACAAGGAGGGCAAAAGTTGTGTTATTTATCCTTGTCTTTAAACTGTTCTCTCTTCTGCCCGAAAGCACAGCTAGTAAGAGGCCCAGGCAACACAGATCCAACTTCTAAATGCTTCATGAATCATCAGTTCTGACAGGTCACTTGATTTATTGTCTTAGGAGTCTGAGCCAAAGAACTGGGTGAAATCTTGGTTTCACAGTCCCTGATGCACTGCTGACAGAGCAAGTGACCTCGGGTTCAAGTCACTTGATCTCCTCGTCTCTTAGTCATCCCATCTGGAGACTGGGTGAAAACAGTCTTCCAGCCCTACTAAGTTTCCTCTGTGTATGGACTTGTACCTACGCTTTTATTTTTTACGCTATTACCAAATGCAAGCCAGGACAGTAGCACAGAATAACACCAAACACGCTCTTAGCACCAGGTGAACTCACACTGCTTCTACAATTGCTTTTATGTGAAACTAAAACAAAAGCTCCTCATCCTGCCCCCTTTTCTTGCCATCTCTTCCTTTTCATAGTCTTGAAATGGAAACTCCAACAAACAGCTCCACGCAAAATACATAATTATTTTCTGTTTATGTCCGGCTGTTAGAGGAGTTCTGCTGGACAGTCCTTTCATTATCATTGTAGTATGTTCTTCTACAGCAAAGCAGCTTTCCACTATGCTCTGCGCCACGTCAGTTTGCCTCTTCCCATCCTCACAGAGCGGGCAAAAGGTGCTTCAATCATCTAATCCATACCCAAACACCCAAATAACATCTGTACCTAGAGTTTGCACAGTCTCCTCACTCTGCTGGACTTGCTGTGACATCATCCTGCTAATGCCCATCAGGCTCTCTGTGATGTTACTTGCACTTTCTGCCAGACTTTCCTTTGTAGTCTTCCTGAAAAAGAAAGGGGAAAAAGTAAAGCACAAAGGGATAAAATTATGTCTTTGGGTACTGCAGGGAAAATGCTGCTGCCAGGTTGCTTGGCACCAAACATCACTGCCAATGTACAAAAGACACAACTAGATTTACTACATGAGAAATTCAGTTTATCTTCACTAAATAACAAAAAAAACCCAAACAAAACCACAAAACCAAAAAAAGTCACGATCCAAAACAACTGCTAGTGGCTCAGAATCTCACAGGGGCCCATATTTCACTGCTTATTCATCCACAATTGTACAACTTCACAAGCTGGTTATGGAAGCACTGATAAACTACCACTTTATTATCCTGGGCATCCCATTTGTTTCTTCATTATACTAAATATGCCAACTTTTCAATACAGAAATTATAGAAGCTTACATCCTGTTCTGCATGTAAAATCAGCTTGTGTAATGACCCATTATTTGTATATAACCCTGATTGGAATTAATGTAAAAGATGGTCAGAAAAACTATGAAGACTAACTTATCCCCTTTTCTTCTTAGACATGCCAAGACCAAGAAAATCTGAAATTATCGCAATCCTTAACAGCTTAAACCTCCACAAAAGGTAAATGCATTCATAAAAGAAAAGCTATGTTCCAAATACAATTAAGTAACTTAATTAACATTATGTCACTTCCATTTAAAACTAGTGAATACAGCATACACTGTCTAAATCTCAGATCATACACTGGGACAGTCTAATACCTTTGTCTTAAGGAGTCTCTTCCCTGCAGCAGTTGATCTTTCTCAGAGTTGTCGATAGCGATTTTGCAAGCTAGATTTGCCTTTCTCCAAGCTGCCTGATTGCTGGAATCACAAGAATACAATGTTGTAACACAATGGTAACACCTTGCAAGCAAAAACAATTTGCACAAAACAATCACCACTGTAACTGAGCACCCAGATATGTGCATGGACTTTCTCTGTATTACACCACACAGTAACAATATACTGTCCTGTCACTTCTTCTCCTAAGTGTATTGTTTATGGAGCAAGGGAAGAAGAAAACTGTGCCAGCTGCCAAACGACAGACTCTCACCAGCTGTCAAAGGACAGTCTCTCAAGTCACCTACTTACATGCTGAACTGCTCAAAGGGACAGACCATGGTTAAGGAGTCAGGACAAGAGAGAGGAAAGGAGAAGGGAGTCCTACCCCTTCCATCCCTGATCCTCTCTCAGTCTTGGGCAAAACAGCATCATGTCAGTGATGGTATTTGCAAAACACGGTCTGAAATACGCTGTATGTACATCAGATATCTCTGGTCACAGGGGACCTATAAGCAGCACCAGCTGCCCGACCCACCTGAGCATTTGTTTCTTATGGTTTTCCACTTCCCGCAGTAAGGCTTGTTTCTCCGACTCTTTATCTTGCTCCTTCGCCATCTGTTCCAGCTCCTTTGACGGAAAGCAGAAACATAAAAATCCGATCAACAGCAGCTGCCACCTGCAACTCGCACAGCCCAGCCCCGGCCGGGGAGTGAATGACCAGCAGACGGGTGCGATG